ATTTATTATCAGTAGAATCAACAGTGCTGTATGTAAATAAGAGAATATTATAAAAACAGCTATAAAAGTAGAACTGAATGAAACATGATAGCTACTGTATCACACTGTTGAGGGGGAAAAAGACCACATCCAAAAACACATATAAATTTATTTCATTTATATCCACTTCAAAATGGGAAAAAACTAATATATGTTGTTCGAAGTCAGGATAGTCATTAACTTTAGAAAAGGAAGATGTTATAATGATAGGAATAGACCATAAGGTAGAAATTGTAGTGCGGTAGTTATATTTCTTGAACTGCATTCTGGTAATATCAGCATATCATTTTGTAATTATTGAGCTGCACATATTTGTGTTCTTTTCTCTATGCTATATTTCAACAAAAAGTAGTTTTTGAAAAAAAGAACAAACTAAAGTAAATGCCAAGAGTCTACAGAATAGCCTGATAAACATGGTCCTCTCTGAAGTCCACCCTGCAGGCAAGGAGAGTGCTTTGGTAGTGGGGGCGGGGTGGAGAAGGGGGCTGTTAAATGGCTGCAGAGGTTCTCTGATATAATATAAAAGGTCTTCACAATAAGGCAATTACAGATACATTATAGATTATTTCCCACAAGATCTAAGAGAGAAAATCAGAGAGATGAGATCTAAAAGCAAACAAAACAAAGCATCAAATGATACATTACAGGAAGCTTTTCATATTATCTTATAGGTAATGTAGGCTCATATACATTTCACTTTCTAATAGTTCTAGAAACCAGTAAAACGCGGCTAGTGGGACTATTTACTTACCTAAGCATATCCAACAATTCTCAAGCTTAGTAAGACCTAAGGAAAATAAGCCTGTTATATAAAAGAAGATATCGCAATCATGTCTAAAGGCCCAAAATAATGTTCAACCCAATAAGTATTTAAATATCCTACTGTGTCAATATTTGGGAAAACATAAAAAGGCAGAATTTCAAGAACCATAAATATAAATACTCAAGACGAATTAAACAAGACAATAGCAATAGCAATTAATTTAATTCCAACTAATGAATCCAAGACTGGATAACGTTAAATGAGTGAATGAAAGAGAAAATGCAATAGGTATATTGGAGCCAGTTGATCAAAAGCTTTGATGGTCACACTGAGAAGTCTAGATTTAAATGTATAAAAATTATTTTATCTGAATTTCTTTTACCTAAAGAAAATTTTGGATCTAATGGTTCATAATCATTTTACTCATCAACAAGCCTTAAGAAGTAATGTAAATCACAGTGCCTTAATAAAAAAAGTAATGTCCTATCTGGATATTAAATATTCTGTATAGATAAACCAAGAGGGGTTTGTGGAGTGTTAAAGTTAACTTCTATGGCAGCAACTTATAATTAAGAACACACTCCAAATATCGCCTACAAATCATGAATAAATCCATATTAATCTACACATATTTTTTGAAAATATCTTAAGCCTTAGGTTCACAGTTTAGATTATCTCTTTGGCAACCATTTAAATCATTTAAATGAGATACTACCTTTATTCTACTCTACCCCAAAATACCCAAACATGTATTTGAGGTTATCTACTGTATATCCATAAGAAGCTTTCTAATTTTTAAGTAAATCACATTACATAAATATATTAATCTTGCTAGTCTCATGGTTTGGCAGGCCCTGATTACATCTATCTTGCAACCTCTCTCTACATATTGGAAAATAATTACAAAGTCTCTCTATTTTTTCTTGATTTGGAATAACACCTTGCAGTACTCAAGCATTACTCCTATCTCTGTGGTCAGGGATCACTCTTGGCAGTGCTCGTAGGAAAATATGAGGTGCCAGATCAATTCTGGCTAAGCCATATATAAGGCAAGTACCTTATCCCCTCAAGTATTTTGATCAACATAATGTAGCTTCTGTGGACTTTTATATTTGTTATGTATTTCATTGAGAAGCAGCCTCAGGAATTCCTTATATGATTTTGTACACAAATTTACTTTTTGTCATTTACACGGAAGAGATGAAAACAAGTTTTCTTCATGTTTTCAATGCGCTTTTGACAATGTCTAACAAATTCTTGGCTTTGAGGACCACAGAGTCGGGCCAATTTCTTTACAGAATGATCAACAGTGCTTTTTAGTTTTATTTTTTAAATGCTATCATATTGTGTATTGTCTAGCCCAGATATTGATGAGATATTTCAAATGAGTATCTAGATAAATCTATAGGTACTTGGCTACCCCAGCTGAGAAGGATCATAATTCTAGACGGAGCAATGTCACTCTCTCACTTTTTGTCACCTATAATTGTGTCGGGGGGAGGTTTTTCTAACATTACCCTTGGAGGATGTTGTTAATATAGCTGCTCTATATCCTGGAAGTATATTTTAATTTCTTTCTGTATCCTGTTTTTAATGTTTTAAACTAGTGTGTGACATACATATATCTTCAGTGATGATTGAGATCACTTTCATGATTGGTTACTGACCACATCATCTCATAAGCATTTATAGGTGTGCATACACTGAAGTACCTCTCATTATTCTGTTCATTTGGTTTTCACTTAACCTTCCTGCAACTAGTTCACATCAGTTCACCTTCAATCCTTTCAGATACATGGGTGATAAACCAGACTACAATGCCCACTGAACGGTATCTATTTTATCTTTCTTCCTCTCCATCTAAGAATTGCTATAACAGCAGCTTTTTGTGTTTAAAAAACAAAAATGTAAAAATATGATCTATGTGACCAAATCCCACAAGGCTGTTTACTTCCTTATTCATGAATCAGAATCTGTCAGCACAACTTAAAATCTTGACTGTCAGCAGATACTGCAATTAAATGCCCCTGCAAAGCCAGCAGAGGGGGCACCAGAGCACTAGAAATTTTACCCAATAACTAGAAGTATCAATTGAATTCTAATAGTCAATCAGTTTTCCTTGTATTTAAATGTATGCTACAATTAATATCTTTTAAGTTATGTCTAAATTGAATTTGAGCTAACACTTCTTCCAAATATACTTCAATCATCCTGCAAGTGAATTTAAAGAAGAATAAGTAACATATGGCCAAATAGAAAATGCTGTAAATCTGAACCCTCTACTTCATTAAAAAAAAAAAAACTATGAAACACCATTCCCACCACCCCCACACTTCATCCCAGAAAAGACTACAGGAGTAAGTATGCTAGAATATTATACTGAAAATCAAGAGATCAAATCCCATTCTAATCCTGATTGCAGTTGTGTGACCTTAGACAAGTCACTTCCCTCTCAGGTTCCAGATGTTCCCCACGGACAGTCAAACAAATGGACTCATAATGGCCTCTTGCAACTCTAAAAACTCTCTCACTGATGTCAGTAAATATAAAGATCTAAAATGTTTGCTTTCATTGTTCAGAAAAGACTGAAACAGAAAGAATAACAGAGGGAAGGTAGACAACTGTATTTAAACTTATACAAATCCATTTAAAATGCCATACAATGATTGGTTAACTATAGATTATTCTATACGAGAGAGTCCCATTCATCACAGTATAGCTGCCCTACTAATCCTCAGTCTATAAACATGGATCTGTCCATTATGCATGACCAAAGCTTCAGCCATCATTTGACTAAGGATGTACAGTTCCTTCAACTTTTGACAGAATGTAAAATGTTTAGGTGCTCTGTAGTTCTACTGTCCAGTAGTAGAGTGAGGAAAGGAAGATAAAGGGAGCCAGAATCCTAGTAGTCATTTAGCTTATGTTTAAAGTTTCAAGTACAAGGTATGTCTAATAATTCTCTTTTTCAATAAGCTGTTAAACTGGAATGTGTTGGCAAGATACCTTAAGACGCAGGGCAACTTCACATTGTAGAAAATGTGTCCAACCTAACTTTATAGTATTATCATGTAACACTAACTATGTTGGTAACCAAAGAAAGAACAAGTCATTTTTACAGACTTACGACAATTACTCCGTGTTAGTAAATATGGCCTAGGTCCCTGCCTTAGGGAACTTATTTGCAAAACTTGTCTTCTTACTAAGAAGAACAAATTAATTATTATTCTTTATTCATCTCAAAAATGGTTCTTACATGCTTCTCTTAAGTTTCACAATGTGTCAGTGAAGGGATACTTATTTTTAAATGGTTTTAATTGTATAAAGAGCTAGAAAAAAGTAGAAAACAAACACCAAACTAATAGTTTGCTAAGGAGATCATATGCCATAAAAACACACAAACACTGCACTTGAGAGACTACTATTAACTATTCCGTTAGTATATTCCTGTTCTCAAGCAACTAGTAGTGAAGACAGTGAAGATACTAAATCCGTAACCACTCCAACAACACCCCCCCCCCATTAGAACCGGCATGTAAAGGGTGAGTTTAATTTTCGTAGAGTTTAAATGCTGTTCAGAAGTTGTCTAGCAAGACGGCATACTTCTACAAGAATTCCTCAGGGGCGCTGATCCTCACTAGAACGCCAAGGACAATCAGTTTCAAATTGCAGGTAAGCCCACGTTCTGGTCAACGCACAAGGACCCTGCGCTGAAAGTACGGTTAAAAGTCGTTTCAACAGGCGTGGAGCCGTTATTACAGCTGTTTACAGCTCCAACTCCAAAGGAAAGCCTGCCGGTGCTGGCATCGACTCCGGACACGAAAAAACAAGCACCGCAGGCAGAGTGTCTCACCAGGAGCAGAAGGGCCAAACTGCTGCCGTTAGTCCGCCAGAGGGGCAGCGCCCGCACCTCCGCGCCGGGCCGGCCGGGAGCACAGCCAACTTTTCCCGAGGCAGCCTGAGCTGTGGCGGCGGGAGCAAGCCAGAGTTCCCAGGTCCAGGGGTCCTGGGAGGAGCTGGGAGAGCTGGGCCAAAAACCAGAGACAACCTGCCCTGGGACCATCGCTCTCCCAACCCGCCTGCCCCCTCTCTGGAGCTGCACTACCGCTTGGCTAGATGTGGCAAAGTCCTCCGCAGGGCCCCCGCCCTGCTCACAAGGGAAGGGGGCCTCCGCCGCCGCCCCTACTGAGTGACTCACCTGGTGCCCGTCCTGGGACTCCTGGGGACGTATGATTTCTCCCGGCTCCATTGGCTGCTGCTGAGGGGACGACTGTCCAAAGTGGCGGGTGATGGGACCGTCAGCGTCGAGGCCACCGGGACCGGTTAGGGTGCCAGAGGTGCCAGGGGTGCTGGGGCCGCCCAGGCGGGACTCGGCTCCTCGTTCCCGCCGCAACTCGGAGCGCAACTCTAGGTAGCAGCACAACGTCAGCAGGTGGAGGGCCAGAGAGAGGCCAAAGAAACCCAGGAAGAGCCTGCAGCTGTTCCCTTCACCAGACCGGGCAGGGGCCCCGCGACAGCCGCAGCCCTGGCTTCCCCGTTCCCGCCTCGCTGCCGCGGGCAGGGGTTCCCTATGCTCCACCTCGGGGTAGCCCATGGCCTCCAGAGACACCCACTCTCTCGGGCCCGGGAGCCGCCGCGTCTGCCTCAGTCGTTCACGACCCCTGACAGGCAGCTACTGTCCTGCCATCGGCTGGGGGCTGCAGGGACCCGTTCCTGCGCGACGGAGGCTGGGCGAGACAGAGCAGCGAGCAGCCGCATGTGCAGCTCCACTCCGAGGGGTGGGAAATGGGGGAGGAGGGGCGGGAGAGAGGGGCGGCTCGGCCCGCCGAGGGAATGAGGGAGGAGGCCCTGGTCCACCCCGCCCCATCCCTCAAGCGGCTGCCCGGACGCCCAACCACTGGGCCCGCCTAGCCTCGACACCCCGCCCCCTGCCGTTACACCCCGGGCCTCCAGCCGCGGGGCGGGGTCTGGGGGCGTGTGGACTCGCCTCTGGCTGGCGGCCCCACCCAGCTCTTCCCGCTTACCCCGTTCCAGTTGGTAACTCCCGCTGTCGTTCAACCCTGGTCTCCGCCCCAATTTAACCCTTCAGCGCCAGCATGGAGGGGGAAAGGGAGAGGAGGGGGAGGCCGAGAAGAATCGGTAACCTTGGAAAGAAAATAGAGCAGAGAAAGGAGGCAGAAACTTGTATTAATAGAAATGTTTGCAATTAACTGCAGTTGTTAATAACATCATCCAGTACTTATCTGTTGCTTTCAATCTTCAAAGCGTTTAACAGACGTTAAACTAATTAAAACAGTTCTGGGTTTGGAATGAAACCATGCCTGCTGTGTTTGCAATCCAATGGCGCGCCAAAAAAAGAAAAGGAGACCAAGGAGACTGCGAGCCAAAGGGAGTGAGAATGAAGTTAGACTGAGGCGGCCCTCACTCCTGGAGAGAGTTTGAGGCTTCAGCCTCAGTGACTAAGCAGCCCCCCCCCCAACCGTGCCACGCAGAAAAGAGTGTTGGACCACGAAGGATAAAACTGTCCCCTAGGATTTCTTGGTTTATTTGTTCAAGATACCAATAAATCTCTTTACCATGCAGAAAGTGGTGTATAAGAGGGTCTGTCAAAAATTAAAAAACATAGTTGTTCTAATTCTGCTGTAGCAGTTTCCAATAGAGAACTTGGGCCTTCAGTGAACAAATGGAGAAGCCAAGGGCCGGAATGGGGTGGAATTTTACTAGGGTGGTCCACAGAATGGCCAGACACTATTGGCATCTCTATTTGCAGGCAACTGTTCTGGCCTCTCTACTCCTCCCCTCGTTTCCCTGGAGTAGTCCCTAGGGGAAGTTCAACAAGTCAGCCAAAATTTCCAGATGTACAGTGCTGCAACTGCAGCATCTTCAACAGCTGCACCAATCAGGATAAAATGTTCAGAGCAAAAACACACACAAAAGTTGCAAATGTCAGAACAATAGACCCTGAAGTGAAGGATGGAAAGGATTAGATAAAAGGCACAATTGACAAGAGTTACTAGTTTAAACTTAAAGAAAACTAAATGAAGTTAGCAGAAGAAATAGGTTTCTCATATGACCAATAAATGTTTCTTGGTCACTATTCACTACATTTCCATACTATGGATAATTACTATGGATATTAATAATTTTATTGACTTGAAGAGGGTAAGCATAACACCTAGGCCAGTGAAATAGAAAAAAGTAAAAGGAGGTATAAGACTAAAGAAGAAAAATAACAAAACAAAGCTTATGTGAGGAGGTCAGTTTAGAGAGCACAGAGGTCATAAACATTATTATCCACATCATTAGTCACAAACAACTTTTCTTCTAAATAATATTGTGAATAGTCTCAGTACTTCAAGAACATCTTGTGTCCCCTTTATTGGTCCTTATCCTTGAAATTCTAAGTTTGCACAGAATATCATGAACATATAGATTAAAAATAATGAAAGAGTTATTTAACAATTGATCATAAGTCCCACCAGGTTGAAGTGCCACTTATGATTCTACGGGAACTGCCAGACACATTTATTTGCTGTAGTTATGACAGTTCAGAATTATCAGAAAGAGTGGTATATTAAGAACCAGTAAACTTGATCTGGCACTCGTTTGTTGGCTTTCTCTGAAGTCATTGTGCTTTTAAGACCTTAGTTTCTCCAATTTGAAAATGAGAAGCTGTAACATTGTTTAATCTGTGTGTTCATTAGCTATTTGACCTGTTAATTAACCTAGTTAATTAGACAGTTCAAAGAGTGGTCATCTTCTTCCCTAAAACAAGGGGGCTGGAGTGATAGCACAGCAGGTAGGGTGTTTGTGTTGCACGTGGTTGACCCGGGTTCGATTCCCAGCATACTATATGTGCATCACCGGGTGTGACCCAAAAAGCAAAAAAAAAAATGTAAAACAAGAAGCAACAACCATCTCATGGTAATGGTGATATTCAGAGACCTTACTGGTACCTTACTGTATCAACTACTTCATTTTTTTCCTTCTTTTTCAGCTACTTCATTTTACTAAATTTTAAACAGCTTTACTAAGACCCTGGGCTGCACCATTGCCTTCAGAGGCCCTATAAATTACATTTGACCTGGGACATTATTTTGGTTCCCCAGAGAGAGACAAGGCAGTAGAAATGTTAAAATATGACACTCTAATGAGTATTACAAACACAGTATTTTTGGTTTTTCATTTCCCTATTTTTTACTTCATTTTTAGTACCTTCAATGGGTAATTTCCTATGTTTGTAAGCAAACATACAAACATTTTATGTTTGTAAGCAGACACAACTATGAATAATTCAGACTATGCCACTGTATGTACAGGATCCCATTCCATAGGCAATTTGCTATAAACATAGCATGATACAATGTAATTACTGCAAAAAAGTGTAATTAATTTTGCCCAATATTTATAAGCAGTTACTATATGTAAAAATTCTGTGATGGATTCAGGGATACATAAAAGTACAGATCCTTACTTCACGGAAATAAAAATGTTTTGAAGTGATATTTCAGTTAGCAAATATTCTTTCATAAGTACCCTGTCTCCAAAAAGCACAAATCTCAAAATGACAGCTTTCAGGCAATCTTCCATAAACATACACCTTAGCTGGAAATTTTTCCAAGCCAAGGGGAACACAAATACTTGAATAAAAGGATCAAGGACCGTCCACGAAGGTGGTAAGGCAAGCTTCTCAAAATGATACTTCAAAACCAGTCCTTATAACTTTTGGTTATGTCTTTGCTTAGTTTCAGGTGGTGATACAGGGCCTTGGTTTGGTTTCTTGTCCTTTAAGTTGAATACCAGAAACCGTTAGGGGGTATGGCGCCGCCAGGAGGTCAATCTGTACCTGTGAGCTGAGTGTATCAGGAGCCTGATGGTGCCTTCAGACTTCCAGATACCCCAAAATTGTTGCTGTGCCTTTGGCCAGACCCCCAAAACTTGGGGCAAAGTTTACCAAGAAAGTAAACGGCCAAAAGTTAGGTATGTGGGAAACACACCCATAAACCACCTCCGGCTCAGCTATATAATTGGAGGCATGACCTCTCTGGTTCCTGATTGAACTTCTTAATGGCCATGATCCCAGACACAGAAACAAATCTCGAAACCCAGCGGCTTTTGGCAGAAATGCATCTGGTCCCTTCACTAGGTTACCCGTGCTGGGCCAACCCAGGTGGGAATAGGTTTCGTGCTTTGATTGGCCTATTCCCTCTGGAGGCCCGTTGACCACCATCCTCCCGAGGCCATTAAACAGTGAGGTTTAGACCCGCAGTGACGAGACACACAGGGCCTCACAGAATGGGGGTGGAGCCAGTCCTTTTCTCCCCATCCCAATGAGACCCCAAGTCATCGCCCACAAACGGCCTCTCTGGCTCCTGATCAAGCTGCTTAATGGCCATGATCCCAAAGACTCAGAAACAAATCTCGAAACCCAGCAGCTTTTGGCAGAAATGCGTCCAGACCCCACAGTAGGTTACTGTTGCTGGGCCACCCCAGGGGAGAAAGGGTGTTGTCCCTCCGCCTGCTACCCCTTGGTGGCTCGTTGGCTGTCATCCTCCAGAAGCCATTGGACAGTCAGGTTTGGGCACACAGTGATGAGACATGTTGGGCCTCACGGGGTGGGGATGGGGCAGGTCCTTTCCTACCCATCCCAACAAGACCCCAAGTCATCGCCCACGAACGGCCTCTCTGGCTCCTGGTCAACCTGCTTAATGGCCATGATCCCAGAGACTCAGAAACAAATCTCGAAACCCAGCAGCTTTTGGCAGAAATGCGTCTGGACCCTGCAGTAGGTAACTGTCGCAGGGCGACCCCAGGGGGAAAGGGTGCTGTCCCTCAGCCTGCTCCCCCTTGGTGGCTCGGTGGCTGCCATCCTCCAGAGGCCATTGACAGTCAGGTTTGGACCCACAGTGACGAGCAACTCAGGGCCTCATGGGATGGAGGTGGAGCCGGCATTTTCCTCCTCCTCCCAACGAGACCCCGAATCGCTGCCCATGAACAGCCTTTCTGGCTCCTGTTCATGCTGCTTAATGAACATGATCCCAGAGACTCAGAAGCAAATCTCAGAACCCAGACGGTTTTGGCAGAAATCCCTCCAGATTTAAGTGTTAAAATTTCAGAATTTCAAAATCGCACAGCCACTACTGCAGCCACGCAACAGCATTTGTTATTCATAACCAGCAGTAGAAAACAAACTGTCTATTGTTGCCTTTTCAGCAGATTTGAGTTTTGGGGTAAAATCTCAAATAATAATGGTGGCTCAGGTGTCAAGATATTGAATGTGATCAAAGTAGAGAGAGACTAATGTGGAAATCATCTGCCCCACAGGTAATGGGAGGGTGTGGGATGGGGGAATACTGGGGTTGTTGGGGGTGGAGAATGGGCACTGGTGAAGGTACGGGTGTTTCATTGTACAACCGAGACTTAGACACGAAAGCAGTAGTCCTACATAAAAAAAAAAAAAGAAACCGTAAGACTTTGTAAATTCTGTGTTTGGTTTCCTGCCAGTCTTGTAGGTTGGGGGAGAGGAGAGAAATAACTAGGGTTTGCAAAAGAGTTTAGTTTGGACTCCTGCCAGTTAATGCATCCCAGAAGTTGAAGGTGGCTTTATCAGCACCCTAACCAGAAAAGGGTCGCTTATACTCACTCTTCACGTATAACAAGGGGCAATAAAATAACATTTAAAATTATAGTAAAATAATAATACAAACCCCCTCCACCCTGAGATACATTTATTTTAGAATTTTCTTGGGTATTGGTGTGTCATGACTC